ATAGCCCAACCTGCCTGCAGACAAAAGACAACTCTATGCAAAATTTTGGGACTCTAACTCAATTCGTTTAGACGCTAGAGTGATTACAACAGACAGACGGACAGACGGACATGCATAAATCGTCTTAGAATTTTACGCTGATCAAGAATATATATACTTTATAGGGTCGGAAATGAGTATTTCGATGCGTTACAAACGGAAAAACAAAACTAATATACCCTGCATTCTATGGTGGAGGGTATAAAAAGGGGGTTATATGGGGACTACCCCAAAAAGGGGGCGAATATTAAAAAATGTTGGTAGGGAGATTTGTTATCATATACGACTATAAAATACCAAATTGCAGCAAATTCGATTGAAAAACGCGCTCAAGAACCCCAAAATACCTAAAATTGGGGGTACCCTTATAATATACCCTCCATACTATGGTGGAGGGTATAAAAAGGGGGTTATATGGGGACTACCCCAAAAAGGGGGCGAATATTAAAAAATGTTGGTAGGGAGATTTGTTATCATATACGACTATAAAATACCAAATTGCAGCAAATTCGATTGAAAAACGCGCTCAAGAACCCCAAAATACCGAAAATTGGGGGTACCCTTATATGGGGGCTTTCCGAAAAAATTGACCTATACTTGTAATTTTTTGTGGAGAGATTTGCTACGCAATAAGAACTCAAAGGACCAAATTTCAACGAATTCGGTTGAAAAACGCGCTCAAGAACCCCAAAATACCGAAAATTGGGGGTACCCTTATATGGGTGCTATCCGAAAAAATTGGCCTATACTTATAATTTTTTGTGGAGAGATTTGCTACGCAAAAAGAACTCAAAGTACCAAATTTCAGCGAATTCTGTTGAAAAACGCGTTCAAGAACCCTAAAATACCGCAAAATTAGGGGTACCCTTATATGGGGGCTATCCGAAAATATGGACCATTATTTATAATTTTTAGTGGAGAGATTTGCTACCCAATAAGAAATCAATGTACCAAATTTCAGCGACTTTGGTTGAAAAACGCGCTCAAGAACCCCAAAATACTGAAAATTTGGGGGTACCCTTATATGGGAGCTATGACTAAACGTGGACCGATATAGGCCATCTTCGAACTTGACCTGCCTGCAGATAAAAGACGACTCTGTGCAAAATTTTGGCGTTCTATCTCAATTCGTTTAGACGCTATAGTGATTACAACAGACAGACGGACAGACGGACATGCTTAGATCGTCATAGAATTTTACGCTGATCAAGAATATATATACTTTTTAGGGTCGGAAATGATTATTTCGATGCGTTACAATCGGAAAAACAAAACTAATATACCCTCCATACTATGGTGGAGGGTATAAAAAGAAAACAGATTAATTTATTTGACCCGTTAAATATTGAGACAGCCATTCGATTTGTAGGAGTTTGGTGCACCATTTACATAAAATCGGAAGAAAATATATATGGGAGCTTATCTAAATCTGAACCGATTTCAACACATCTGTGTAAACACGCTCTGCAAAATGTTGTCTCAATTGGTCAGATATTGTGACTTGGTGAACTATTGTGGAATCGGACAAACCTATATATAAGTGGACTGTGTCAAATTTCATCTCATTTGGATTATAAATGCGACCTAAGTTGTAATCATAAATCATACTATATATGCACTGTCCCCACAGATACAATTGCCAATTTAAATAAAATATATATTTCATATACAAAATATCCAATATCGTTTGTTTTAATAAAATGTCTTCTATTTATGGGCTAGCTGATTCTTTTAATTTTTAATCAGCCTAAATGTATGCTGTACAAGAAAAAGATATGAGCTGCGCTAAAACCTAGAATTACATCTGTCAGACTAAATTTAATCTGGTTAATTTTTTATCACGATCAGTGTTGCCAAGTTAGCACTTTTAGTGCTAGATTTACCACTTTTTAAATTCGTTTTGCATTTTTTAGCATTTTTCCTTTTTCCTGGAATTTGTACAATATTTGACACAATAAAAATTTCCGTTTTTGACGTTCCTCTTATTAATGTGGTCTCTAGAGCGACAAAAAAAATGACAAAAATAATTTTTTGGGTTCATTTCATCCATGAAATGTCAGTGGATCACCATTAAAAACTATAGATGTCGCACTTTATACAAAGTCTAGAATTTTTATACCCTTCACCACACTATGGTATAGGTTATTATGTCCTTGTGAATATGTTTGTAACAGGCAAAAGGAAACGAGATAGACACATGGTTCCTTTTGAGAATATGCATAGAATCACTTTCTGAGTCGATTTATGCATGTCCGAATATTCGTCCGATTTAATGTAAATGGTGTACCAAAGTCCCTATTTATCTTTCGATTTGCACGAAATTTGGCATAGCGTAAAAACGCATTTTAATTTTCTGTGGTCTAAAAAGGCATTTTAATGCCTTTAAACGCTTCTAACGCCTAGAAAACGCATTTTAATTTTCTGTGGTCTAAAAAGGCATTTTAAGGCCTTTAAACGCTTCTAACGCCTAAAAAACGCATTTTAATTTTCTGTGGTTTAAAAAGGCATTTTAAGGCCTTTAAACGCTTCTAACGCCTAAAAAACGCATTTTAATTTTCTGTGGTCTAAAAAGGCATTTTAAGGCCTTTAAACGCTTCTAACGCCTAAAAAACGCATTTTAATTTTCTGTGGTCTAAAAAGGCATTTTAAGGCCTTTAAACGCTTCTAACGCCTAAAAAACGCATTTTAATTTTCTGTGGTTTAAAAAGGCATTTTAAGGCCTTTAAACGCTTCTAACGCCTAAAAAACGCATTTTAATTTGCTGTGGTTTAAAAAGGCAGTTTAAGGCCTTTAAACGCTTCTAACGCCTAAAAAACGCATTTTAATTTTCTGTGGTCTAAAAAAGGCAGCCTTTAAACGCTTCTAACGCCTAAAAACGCATTTTAATTTTCTGTGGTTTAAAAAGGCATTTTAAGGCCTTTAAACGCTTCTAACGCCTAAAAAACGCATTTTAATTTTCTGTTGTTTAAAAAGGCATTTTAAGGCCTTTAAACGCTTCTAACGCCTAAAAACGCATTTTAATTTTCTGTGGTCTTAAAAGGCATTTTAAGGCATTTAAACGCTTCTAACGCCTAAAAAACGCATTTTAATTTTCTGTGGTCTAAAAAGGCATTTTAAGGCCTTTAAACGCTTCTAACGCCTAAAAAACGCATTTTAATTTTATGTGGTCTAAAAAGGCATATTAAGGCCTTTAAACGCTTCTAACGCCTAAAAAACGCATTTTAATTTTCTGTGGTCTAAAAAGGCATTTTATGGCCTTTAAACGCTTCTATCTCCTATAAAAGCATTTCAAGGCCTTTATTTATATATTTACTCCTGAAGGATATAGACCCCAAAAGTTGATAGTACATTCAAGGGTGGTTGACCTTTAAATTGATACCAAATATAGTGATGTATCTGCTCGGATATGGGAGTTACACTTAAAAATTTGCAGGTGCTTACGTATTCAGATATTATTCAGTAACCCATTAGATGGCGGAAATATAGCCTTGATCGCTTTGAAATTTTCCATGAGGTTCCAGTTATGGTCATGGACAATGCCTATAATTTTCGGTGATGATCAGATAAACATTTTGGCATGAAGTGGACCGAAAACTTAATTTTTTGTGTGAATGATGTGTGTCAAGTTTCGTGGAAATCGGTTCAGATTTAGATATAGCTCCTATATGTATTTTTTTTTTTTGTTTTTTTTTTTTTGGTTTTAATCTGTGTAATAAAATAAAAAATGGACTTCGGAAAATAGTGCTTATGTGTGTGAAGAGCACTAAATGGTAATAAACTTGATATTAGATGTAGAAATAGAGGTGGAATATGAAATATATTTTTTATATTCCCTTTCCGCATACGAAGTAGCGGGCACTTTGCTAGTAACCAATATTGTTCCAGTTTTTAACGGTACCTCCGATTTTCGGTATTTTTAGAGTTTTAGATAGGGTTTTTTCTACGAAATATGTTCGGAACTTTAATGGTTTTGGGCACATATGTCTATCTAATTGGTTGTAATTTTTTTATTGGGTAGTGGTATGGTAGTGAATCTTCCTACAACAAATTATCAATATTGGTCCACCTTTTAGGGAAGTCCCCATATAACACTATACCCCAAATATCGGTATATGGAGATTCTTACACTGGAAGATGAACCAGACAGAGACTCGTCACCAACCGAATACAAAAAGGCTTTAATAACGAATACTGAGTGGTCGTAGATATTATCGATAGTCTGAATACGACTGTGAATATGCAGGATATACTGTGCGCATATGACAATATAGAAGTTATTGTGAAGGGCTCATCCGATGAATTGAAAGACGATCCGGTGGTTCGTGATCGGTGGATGGAGATATTGGAGAAGAAATCCAAAACGGCAGAAGGGTTTAGGCTCGCCCAAGAACAATTTGGTAGTCTTCAATCGGAATTGGAGGAGGAGCGACGAGAGCTTAGGTCAGCGAAGTTTGTGTCCCATATACTATATAATTGCTATAATGAAGAATTAGTTAAAAACACGTGACGTGGCGTAGTTACGTACAAAAAAAAGCAGGAGCTAAGATAAAGAGCAATGCGGAGAATATACGTGTAAAATATAAGGATATGATCCCTCGTTTAACAGCCCGTATTTTTATTTTGTGCGGAAAATTGCCCATGTAGGTCAACGTTTTGATATAATTGCCACATAAAAGTTCCAACCACTTTTCGTATTCGGTGCTACCACATAGCGCAATAACATATTCCCAATATAAATGCCCCGATCGACTTAAAAAATTTTGAATGCAATAGTCGCCCCGGCCGAACTAAATGACGTTTAATACTTATGGTGACCATTATGGTCACAATTAACAAAAATTTCCATATTTTAAAAATTAATTTTCAGAAAAATTTTTTATTAATAGGCAACAATAATTTTCTTAACTAAGAACAAACTGAAATTCTTAAGCGCGGTGCTTGTGGACAACATGACGAACAGTCTAGTAATGGTAACCGTCTTCAGTGTATGTGGGTTCTACAACACGGACTGGTGCAGGTGGGATGTAGGTGGTTTTGGGCTCAACAACATACTTAATCGGGGTTTGTTCAACATGAACATGGCGAGTTACAGGTGCTGGGGGAATGTAAGTTGTCGTGGGTTGTTCAACATGAACACGGCGAGTAATAGGTGCTGGGGGATATATCTGGGGTTCTACAACACGAACATGAGAGGTAACTGGAGCTGGAGGAATGTAGGTCCTCTTGAGTTGTTGAACAATCAGTGGAGTTACTGGTGCTGGTTGAACCTGAATTAGTGTTTGGGGAAGATTGATCTGGGGTTGTTCAACATGAACATGACGAGTTACTGGTGCTGGGGGAATGTAAGTTGTCTTGGGTTGTTCAACATGAACATGGCGAGTTACTTGGGCTGGGGGAATGTAAGTTATCTTGGGTTGAGTTACAGGTGCTGGATATACCTGTGGTTCTACAACATGAACATGAGGGGTAACTGGAGCTGGAGGAAGGTAAGTATTCTTGATTTCTTGAACAACCTGGTGAGTTACTGGTGCTGGTGGAGGATCTACAACTAAGTGAGGAACCACTGGAGCTGGAGTGGGCTGGGGATAGCGGTAACCCAATTCCGAGACATCAGCGTAGGCGCATGCCACAAAAGCCAAGGCGACCAGAACGAATTTCTATGACGAAGGATACAAGTATTCAATTATTAATGTTTTCCTTTTCGATTTTAAGCCCTTACCATTTTTCTGCAATGTTTGTTTTGTACTCTGCAAAGAGTTTCAAGTCTTTGATGCTTAATCATGATTGAAAGTGGCTATTTATTTCAATTTGTTACACAGTTTCCTTAACTCAGTTGATCTTTTGTCACATAAAAAGTATCTTAGCCAATTTTGAATGAACTTAGAACAAGTTTCTCAAAGCGGTGATATGGGTTCTAATTTGCAAAACTTTTTGTGTCCAGTTTTTTTTTGAAATTTTTTACTAAATTTTATCTAATATTTATTTTTTTCGATCTTAATTTAGCTTTTTTATTGCCCCCCCCCCCCCCCCCCTACGATCGATAACCAGTTTATAAGCATTTCCTAGGCGTTTTTTGTTGATGTGAAAAGTCAATCTGGTATTTTATTGTTATGCTAAGGGAATAATAAATGCTAGGCATAACCTCTTCTTCTGGGGCATTACTTCGTCATTAACGATCTAGTTCTTTGGAATTTGTCAACCGGTTAATTTGTAAATTTGTTGTGTTCTAAACAGAAACATAAACAAACTTGTAGATGGTTTAATATTGTTATTGGATACCATTAGTGTTCAAATCTGAACATAGTTTAGAAATAAACATTTTAATAATTGGTATTCGGCTATTATTGTATTTTAAATTTTCAACAATTTTTGCACAGACCACATATTTCAGTTGAAATTTTGATTTTTTGTATGCCCTTCACCATACTGTGGTACGGGGTATTATGTCTTTGTACATATGTTTGTAACAGGCAAAAGGAAACGAGATAGAGACATGGTTCCTTTTGAGAATATGCATAGAATAAATTTCTGAGTCGATTTACGCATGTCTGTCCGTCTGTCCGTCCATGTATTTTTGTGAATAAAGTACATGTCGTATTTATCATCCGATTCGGATGAAATTTGGCATAAATCACTTATTTGGCCCAAGGACGAACCCTATTGAAAATGGTGCACCAAAGTCCCTATATATCTTTCGATTTGCATCAAATTTGGCATAACGTACTGAATTGAGCCTAGAGTGATGTCTGCCACGTTTCGAGAAAATCGGTCCAGATTTAGATATAGCTCCCATATATAGTTTCGTCCGATTTAAAATAAATGGTACACCAAAGTTCCTATAAAGCTTTCGATTTGCACAAAATTTGGCATAACGTACTGAATTGAGCCCAGAGTGATGTCTGCCAAGTTTCGAGAAAAACGGTCCAGATTTAGATATAGCTCCTATATATATTTTCGCACGATTTTATGTAAATGGTGCGCTAAAGTCCGTATATATCCCTCGATTAGCACGAAATTTGGCACAACGTACTGAATTTAGTCCAGAATGATGTGTACCAAGATTGATGAAAATCGGATGAGATTTAGATATAGCTCCCTTATATTATAGATTGATTTTAAGAAATTGACGCACCAAGGAACCAGTATATGGTTGATAGGATCTATGTCGATTCACAATTAGATAAATATCACATATTTTATTTTATTTCATCCAATTTCATGTTAATAGTCCTGTTTAATATACCCATGGTGGTGAAGGGTATTATATAGTCGGCCCCGCCCGACTTTACTACTTTCCTTACTGGTTTATATTAAAATAGTTATCTGATTTGTTACGCGTTTTGAGTTTGGTTCTAAGACTCTGTTGTATTCATTTCACCTGCGGAGGATATCGAGATAAACAATTAGAACGTAAGGTTCGATATTGAACTATAGCCGCATTTAGACCTAGCCCCTGTTCCAGAAGGAGTGGACCGATATTCCTTATCTTCTAATTTGAACTATATTTGTAAGAAATAATAAGATGGGCAAAGTTTGGATGAAATCTAAATTTTCTGAAACGGATTTGGTCCAAAGAAACATGGGGTCTAGAACCAATATTTTGATGAGGCACTTTTTCACCGTGTTAAGGTTTATACACCCTCATTAACCATATGGCTGAGGGTATAATAATCCATTAAATCCGTCCACGGTAAAGGTCCACCTTTTGGTATGTTCCCTATATTTTCATTTTTAGTACCTGTCAGTATATTTATGGTGGAGGGTATCCAAAGTTCTTTACGCTTTTTTCACTTGTTGTAATATTTCCATTCCATTTCATAAGTTTTTCGTGTATAAAACTTTTCAAATTTTAAGACAATATTATTAAAATGTGGTTAAGTACGATGTGTATTATTATAAAAATAATTTAAAAATGAAAAATAATGTTTTTACAAAATAGATAGAAAAAATGAAAAAAAAACTATAAAAAGTACATTCGGGGTAGATTCGGCATTTTAAAGTGTGGCACATTCCGTCATATACATATGGGGCAATATTATTTCCTTTAAATGTTTTTGAGTTTGTCTTTAAAAATAATCCTTTAATATGGTCCGAAATTACATATATAAGACGAAACATGCTTGTACTGACGAAAATGCGATAGAATACAGCTATTTCTTATAGTGTGTGTGACCTTGAAAATATAGCCGTAAAAGTCAAACTTTGAGTCGCATTTTAAAACAAAATATAACATTTAGAGGATCTGAATTTCAACAAGACCGATAGCGGTGATATGACTATGGTGCCGAATGTGCCCCATCAAATGCCGAAGCTACCCTGGGTGGGGGCACATTCGGCGAATTTGACTTTTTTACAAAACTGAAATATGTTTAACTAATACTAATTTATTAAATGTTTTTGGTACTAGTTTTTATAATTAAGTATCAGAGGACAATAATCAGGCATAAAGTTTTTATATCTCTTGAATAAGTACTGAGATATAGAGCTCTAAACAAAAAGTGCCGAAGGTCCCTCCATACTATGGTGGAGGGTATGAAAACAAGTGACGTGGCGTAGTTACGTACAAAAAATCAGGAGCTAAGATAAAGAGCAATGTGCTTTCATTCGGCGGAGAATATAAGGATATGATCCTTCGTTTAACAGTCAATATTTTGAAAATTTGTGCGGAAAATTTCCTATGCAGGTCAATGTTTTGATATAATTGCCACATAAAAGTTCCAACCCCTTTTCGTATTCGGTATTACCGCATAATGCAGTAGGTTAGGTTAGGGATGTACGGTTGTTGTAACAACCGTCCACTCGGAGACTATGTCCATTGTGATCATCCTTTATATATATATATGTATACCTATAAAGAAAAAGACATTTGCAGATGATGTGCTCAATTGTTTCCAGTTCTTCTTCGTCCTCACATAGACGACAGTAATTCTCTCCACTGGAGTCCCACTTAGAAGTGAGAGATCTAATTTTGCAGTGACCAGTTATAATCCCCACAACGATTTTGATCTCCCTCTTCCAATGGTTGGATTTAATGGTTGGAGATTCAAGATTGCGTTCAAGGCTGCCTGTGGTATACTTCTTAATGCTCTGGTGATCAGAATTGAAGCCGATCGCTGTACTAAGCTCAGTTTTGTCAGCAGCATATTTTTGTTCACTCCCTGCCACCAGACAAGACGATCGTCGTGTATAATTCCGGGTCTCAATCCCCAACTCTTGCCTATGGAATTCTTGCATGAATAGAGTGCCAGCAGTCCCTTCTTGGAGCGTTCCTCAACATTCCTATTCCACAGTAATTTGCGGTCTAGGATAGTGCCAAGATATTTAGCTTCATCAGAAAGGGTTAAAGTCAGGAATTTTGTGCTTCCTAGTGAAGAGCACCAATTCGGTTTTAGTGGGGTTTACACCAAGACCTTTGGTGCAAGCCCAACCACCTTTATCCTGAGATGATTGAATTTCATAAGTATCTCATTTATCACCAGAAGCCACAAAAGGGGGAAAGTACTCCTCCCTGTGGTGTGCCTCTGTTGACAGATTTTCTCACGGAACTCTCTCCTAAGTATGAGTTGATAATTCTGCTTTCCAGCATTCTATCAATCCATTCCGTAAGGAGTGAGGGGATACCTATGCTTATGAGAGCAGAATGGATGGCCTCTAGCGAGGAATGCTGCCAACGTGTAGCCAGAGGACTCCATGTTCTTCTCGATGCATCCAACCACCTCATGCAGAACTGTATCCACTGATCTGCCTTTGATGTAGGCATGCTGGGATTTACTAAGTTTACTATGGTCAATGGTATTTCTAATTTCTGAGTCTAGTAACCTTTCTAAAGTCTTGAGAAGAAAGGAAGAAATGCTAATCGGTCTATAGTCTTTAGGTAACGTATGACTCGGCTTCCCGGCTTTCGATATGAAGGTCACGGCAACCCCTTTCCATAGACTTGGTATGTACGACAGAAGTAAACAAGCTCTAAAAATGTCCTGCAGAAATGATATTATACGTTCATCTGCGTGTTGCATTATGATCCCGGATCGAGACTGCTGTTTTAGCTTTGAATTTGTCCCAGCTCGTCATCCTATAAGGTTTCTGTTTACCTCTAGAGTTAGGAATCTGGAACAATATGAGTCTATGGTCCGAAAAGGAGCATTTCTCAGACACCTCCCAGTTTATGACCTCAGAGTCGTCCATATTTGTGAGGGTTATGTTGATGACTTCACCTCTCACCCTATTTACAAAAGTTGGTGTGTTGCCTCTATTACAAATTCTAAGATTATAGCTAAGTATAAACTCGAAAATAGAATCGCCTCTTGTATTTGTGTTGCTGGTTCCCCAATGGAAGTGATGTGCGTTGGCGTCACATCCGATGATGATGTCACCAACTCTGCCCATTTCTTCCAGTAGGCGGCATACCACTGTACCGGGCGGGTCAGGAGCCTTATAGGGAAGATAGACGTCTAGCTGTCGTCATATCTACATTGCTGAAATTGGAAAGAAGCATTAAATTTAGCTCTTTTTTTAGCAAGAATACACGTTTTTGTCTCTCCATTGGAGGATGACAAAAACGAGGATTCTCCACCTCATCATCAGAAGGCCGTTGTTCTGCTTCTCCAATAACCTCAGTGTCTTCTCCAGCCCCTTGAAAGGGTTTGGGATAAACACCGAGGTTACCATACCGCTCGGTATCTCTCGGACCGCTACAGCTGCCAGACGACTACCCTCCCAAAGAGGGTCCAGGTTGTTGATTGTCTTCTTAGGCAAATCTGAAGTCTCCTTAGTGCGACAATC